TGGCTCAAATACTAGAAGAAGGTGTCCAGGGAAGTTATATTATCAGACCTTATTATCAAACTGAAATCTTATTAGAATATGTTTTGCTTGTTATGTGAGATAGCCACTGCGCCATTTGGAGGAACTGCTAGAAGAGCTAATAGCAATAGCTGTAAGTTCTCTTCCTATCATTAATGTGAATGGTTATGTCATAGTGTTCCCAACATTTGCATAGTAAATTTTTCTCTTGAGCAATTTGATTTTTCTCTTCTTCATTCGAGTAAAAGGAAAAAAAACGACCTGTTTAAAATAGGCTGTGTTACAACATAATAGTCCTACTAGGTTACTTCTTATCTGAACTATTATCTTAATAAATATCTATCTTATCTCCTTAGTATATAAACCTAATCATAAAATACAAATTTAATACAAAGTAAAATACACTTCTAATTTTGCTTGCAATTCTACACTCAGCCTCAAGCTAGAGAGTATATATTATATATATCCCATCTTCGACATGAATCCATCAAAGTTAGTTCTTGGAAGAGCTTTGATGAGAATATCATCAGTAGGAACATAACTTATCTTTACAGTCCCATTGTTGACTTCCCCATAATTGCAGTAGATAAAAATAATAGCAACAATGATCCGATGGCTAAATAACTGAATAAGTATTGAACTAGGCTAGAACAACCCAAATTGGGCAGCCAAATAATACTAAACCAGTACCCAAACTGAGACTAAACCGGAAACATGAACTGATGACAGAGGCGTGGTTGAACTCAGAAGGCGACATAGGTAGAAGAAAACAACACCGGAATACCATCCTATGTGCTCTCACGTGTTGGTGCATGAAGGAGTGGTGAGAACTTGTGGCGGCACATATGGTTCACACGCTGGGAATCTGACGACCGAATTCTGCAGTCTGGCTGATTGGCGCTCAGCGGACCTCCCAGTGAAGGTGGTGTCGTTCAATGAGCCTCCAGAAACCGCCCTTTTGAAGGAGTGGTGAGAACTTGTGGCGGCGCATATGGCTCATGCATGTGTTTAAAAAAGCGCCGCTTAAGCGCGATTAAAGCGCTAAGCGACTCGAGCGAGGCCCCTGGCGCTTCAGCATAGCAAAAGCACTACGAATTCATTAAGCGGTAGTAATCGGCGCTTTTGCAGCGCTTTTAGCAAAGCGCTAATCGGCGCTTAATCACGAGTTTAGAAGATACGATTCTAGGCTTTAGCATATACAATTTTTGGGCTTGTTTAGGGTTTAGCGGGCTATTTGATTATCAGGCTTAGATCGGCTTTTAGTTTAGGCTTAGATCGTGCCTTGGAGCGCCGAGCTAAAAGTAAGGAGACCGATCCCATTCTTTTGCAAGATATTGATGAGAGCAATGAGTGGTTGATGGGAAGAATGGAAGATGATGATGAGGCGGTGTTTGTTGGTGAGGATTTGACATGGAGTGATGTTGTTAACGCTTCCGGTGCATATGAGCCTAGTTATCTAACTAGAGCATCAAAAGTAGTGAATGATGGAGCCGGACCATCGAGAAATGATAAAGGAAAATCTCCTGCTCATAATCCTATCTCTAGTAGACTATCTCGTAGATGCTTAGTTGATGAAGATGAGATGGAAGAAGATATTGGAGTGTCTAGTGATGAAGGAGATGGTGTTGTTCGAGTTGATGACGATGACGATTTAGAGGATATTTAGTTATAAGGAATTGAGGGTTTAGAAAAATACTTTTGTTCATCTCACTTTAGACTACTTTTGGTGTAGACCATCTTTTGAGATTAATATGCTCGTATAGTCGTATGGTTAATGGTATATAAGTATTTAAGTGTTTATAACTTATAAGTAAATTGATAATTATATTTTGGTGTTTAAGTATTTATAAGTTTTGAATATATGCATTGACACTTTGATATTTAAGTATTTATAAGATAATTTATAAATATTCTGTATTTTTTTGTGAATTTCGGCCTTTCTGGCGCTTCGTGTGCATAAAGCGAGCGCTTTCGCTTAGCGCTTCGGCGTCTAGGACCCTAGGCGCTTTAGGGCGTTTTGCGCTTTTTAAAACCAAGCCTCATGCGCTGGGAATCTGACAACCGGATTTTGCAGTCCGGCTGATTGGCGCACAGCGGACCTCCCAGTGGTGGAGGTGTCGATCAATGAGCCTCCAGAAACCGCCCTTTTGAAGGAGTGGCGAGAACTTGTGATGGCACATATGGCTCACGCACTGGGAATCTGATGACCGGATTCTGCGGTCTGGCTGATTGGCGCACAGCTGACCTCCCAGTGGTGGTGGTGTCGATCCCTTTTGAATTTTGGCAGTACCCCTCACCCCAAACAGCCCAGGAAAAAAAATTGACGAACAAGGAAAAAGATTCCTAAAATTTAATTTAGGCTCTGATGTCATCTAAAATATTAAGAAGAGATAACTTTCATGTATTTTATTCACCAAATTTATGGGTATTTATACAAATATAAAGGTACTATAATATGTAAAGTAATATCCTACATTAACCACGTAATATCATACATTAAATTTCGTCTATAAATTGGTAACAATGAAATAAAGTATAAATGGTGATATTTATCATTTCTTCAATTGATGTTTTCCAGAGGGTAAGCAAAGGGAAGCAACGCTTCAACATTGATCTCACACCATATTCGGATTAGCAAGTTTTCAAGAGTTGTCCAACTGGGTAAGCAGGTAATTATTTTTCCATTCATAGCATTATTAGTGTTGTTTTATAATGTCATTTTGCTAAAATCAAAGAAGAAGACTCGACCTATATTCCACTTTAGTACTCAAGTACTTGACATCCCATTTTGATACGAGTAATCGTGCATTATAATTTTCATTCAATCGCTAACTTAATAATCACAATTAAATAGAAATGAAGAGGAATAAACACTGTTCTTCCTTGCTCTCTATCTTATATTAGGCATGTAAGGAGCTTCTTATTTTGCACAACTCCATGCATTTCTTTTTAGACAAAAAGAAGTTAAAAGCAATAGAAACCGGGTATGCTCGGTGTTTACTGTGCACACAAAGAGAAGGGAAGAAGGCCTGAAAGGAGATCAGAAGTACAATCTCTTATTTTAACCAATACCAGAAGGCTCCTTCTCTCATTTTTGTTTTCTATTTTGGTTTTTCCTTGTTCTTGAGTCTGTCTCTTTCCTGCTTCACTTCACTTGGCATGGCCAATCTATGGACTATGGCACTCGCTAGGGGTGAGCATTCAATCGAGTCAAGTACAAACATTTTGAGTTATTCTAGTTTTAGTCTTATTTTATAACTCAACTTTATTTGATTTTTTTGTGTCGAGTCGTTTCAAGTTGTTCGAGTTTCTATTTAAATTTAATTGTAAATATTTATAGTGTTATGGTAATGATTCTACTTTAAGCGGTTTTCTATAACCATTACAATATTCATATATATTTCTTCATATTTTTTTTTATATGTGATATACATATATCATGCAGAGAATTGAGGGGGGTTAACTCAAACCTAAAATTAATCCACTAATTACTAAAAGTTTAAGCTGTTTTGTTCACCCGTAGAAGCTTTCATCATTTTTCTTTTGCTCTTATCTGTTCAATCTCTTATGACCTTGCTCCCACAGCCAAAAACACTCGAATTTGGGAAAGTGAAATCATTTTCTTCTTTTATTCTTTGGTTCACTTCACTTTTACACACATTACTAATGTGAGATTCCTAAGAATGCTAGTTATATTAGGGTTGTTGCTGCTATTCTCTAATTATGCACTGCTCATGTTCGAAGTTTCGGTCTCTTCGTCTCGGATTTTCAGGTGATTTGTGTCACTTCAAGCAGTGTTTAACTAGAATCTGGATTGATGCTGAGAATATGGCATTGTTATTAGGCTGTAAGTGTGATAACTAGGCTAAATTAGCCCCAATTGCATGGAGCATTCAATGGTCAGACTTCCATACTCTATTCACCTGTGAGCTGTTACTGCAAGTTTTCTTCTGTTGTTTGTATGGACTTAAATACCCTCTAGTATTATTTATTTTCTAGAAGATTATGATTAGTAAGTAAATCTTGTTTTGCAAAGTTTTTTCCCTTAAAATTTTGGAGATTATGATTAGTAAGTAAATCTTGTATGGACTTAAAGTTTGGGTACATGCCACAAATTAATTGCCGCAAGCCTTAGAAATAAATCAATTAAAAATAAGGTAAATCATGCATTCAACCGTTCAATTTTTACTCTATTTCTATTTCGATCACTCAATCTTTTAAGTTTTCAATTTTATCATTCAATTTTAAATATTATATTTTTGTCGCTGGATCGTTAAGTGTTTAACACTGATAAGTTTTTGGTCAAGTTGATGTGAAATGCCCTCCTCTCCCTTTGATACACTGGTACTATTGGGTGTTTTCTTTCAATTCGAACGGTAGAGAGGTCAAGGAGGAGGAGGAAATAATACATTTTGATTCAATGATAATCTTGCGATTAAGATTGCAGATCAGACTAAGATAAAATCAAAGTTTTGTTTTGAGTTTTATCGATTTCAAGAAAAACCAAGCTAAACAGATAGAGAGAGGAGAAAGGGGAATATATTGGTATCTATTAAGTCATAAAAGATAGATAACGACAATCAATACCAATGAAGAAGAATGTCGACCATGATAAACAAAAAATGATAAGATATTAGATTAATTTATAAATAAAAGCACTCAAAACACAATATTTTGGCATTGTTGTTGCATAACTAACAATTGGTTTACAATTTTGTTTCCTGAAAATTGAGGGATAAAATAAAAATTCAAGTGACTAAAATATAAACAAAACCAAATTACCCTTAAAAATAGAAATAAAGCCCAAAAAGGGAAAATATCACTTGAGCATGAGCCCGGCCTGCTCGATCACGCACTACAGAAATAATCTTGGCATTTGAAACAAATTTGAAAAGCAAAATTGGAAAGAAGAGAGGCGGGCTATTCAACATAAGCTAACGGTTCACTTTTCTCTCTCAAAACTCGTCTCTTAAATCACTCTCAAGTTCATGCTAGTATCTCTCTTAAAGCAATCAAGAAACATCCATCTAGATGACATCTCTCAAGCTCAAGGTATTTCTTTTTTTTTTTTTAATCTTCTTTTTCTTAATCAACAATGCTAACTAGCAATGCTTAATCAAATTTCTCCCCTTTCTCGATTTCTTTTCCAAAAACTGAGTTAGGGTTTCTTTTTTCATCACCGTATTCTCTCATTTTCAGGAAAACCTTGGAGATCAACGTAGCTTCGGTCGAGGTAACCCTTTTTGTTGTTATTTTTTCCTATTCGGTAATTTTATTTTATTTTATTTCATTTTGAAACCTTTGTTTTCTGTTCTTATTTGTGTACAAAGGGTTCAAAATTTATACCCAGAATGAAAAGACCAAAAATGAAGCATCTGCCATGTAAGTTTTGTTTTTGCTTAATTACGACATTATCTGATTGTTTTCTTTTTAAATAAAGAATAGTTTCATTGTTCTGTTTTTTTTCTCTTAATTATTTTCCAGGACGAAATCAATTGCGGGTAGCAAAGAAGCCGTTCTAACTGCTGCAAAGGATTCAAAGGTTTTTACCACTTTTATTGTTTCTCTTACTAAAGCTTGCGATTCTTAGAGCGATTGCTTTTGTTTATTTTCATGTTTAACTTCCAAATGTAATTTGAAGGGGTCTTTGAAGAATATGACCAAGATCAAAGGCAAACGCGATAGTTCTGGTAAGCTTCATTTGCATCTGCAACAAATTTGTCATAATTATTATCAAGATAGAGCCTTGGGAACTTTGTTTACAGTTCTTTGAATGTCCATTTTTTCAGAAAATAAAGTTGTTCAAAGAAAAGCGCTGTCAGATCTTAGCAATCTTACTTCTTTCGTTTCTTCCACGAAAGTTTATGATGGCTCGAAATCAACGTGAGTGACTTTTTGTATAATTCTTTTGAATTGTTAGCTCTTTCTGCAATTGACTTAACTAGTTTTTGTAAAGCAGGAAGAATCAGAGAAGTGCCTTGATGGAGCGGTATGAAACCTGATTGTTGTTTTTGTTCCGAATTTGGGTGTGGTTCAGATGTATTCCAAGATTTCAGGACACAATAGACCTTCATCCATTTAGTCCATTGATTTGGGATTTTTAATGAATAAATTTATGGAAATTTGTTTCACTGTCTGTCCCTTTTTAAATGGTCTAGGCATATGTTGCAACTTTTATCAACTAGTATACCTTTTGGCTGCAGTGTGTTTTGTGTGTGATTTTGTTTCCCTCTATGAAGGGTTTAATTAGTTTCATTTTAATGGCACAGATTTGCTTCCCCTTCCCTACATTCTGATGTCTGCATTGTTATTGAATGAGGAAAAAGTTCCATTTATCCAAAATGAATATGATCCGAATTTGTAAAATTCAATTGAAGAGGATATAAATGTATATGGATATTTGTATGTTAATTTGTTTACTGTTTATTAGACTATACTTAACATATGTGAAGTAATTTATTTGCAGGGTTTCAGTGGCTTCGGTTGCTAAAACTGTTAATGTCTCATCCAGGAGATCATTCAAGGTACGAAGGCTAATTTAAAAGTTTAAATCTCCTTTTACTTTTCCCCTTACCCCTACAGCCCCTCAAACATATATGAAGTCATTTAAGTGTTAAAACTAATAACTAAATTCTGGGTAAACCAGCTCTGGATCTATTGTAATTGCTAGTCTTAATGGCATGTGAACTGTTGATATCATAATTATCACCCCAAGCCAGGGAAGTAGGTTACTAAATCACTCAAAGGGTAGAAGAGATCTCTGATTGCAATGAACAATAAATCATGAGAAAATTGTTGACAAGAAAGTATAACAAATGAAAACTGATATGATGTAACATTTATCTTTGTTCTTGGGTTTAATAAGATATTGGATGAAGTTTAACTTTCAAACTGCTAAATTTAATTAAGTTATTCAATTGTTTTGGTTCGCATTTATGGCATCTTACTTCCACTTGATAATCCAGACCATATTCACAAGGTAGAAGAGATCACTGATTGTAATGAACAATCAATCATGAAAAATTGTTAATGGAAAAGTATAACCAATGAAAAGTGATATGATGTAACATTTATCTTTATTGTTGTGTTCAGATATTGTTCTTGAATGTGGTTTAGGACTTTCAAACTGCTAAATCTAATTAAGTTATTTGAGTGTTTTATTTCATATTTATGGCATCTTAATTCTACTTGATAATCCAAACCAAATTAATGAAAGAAAATTTATGTGGTAGTTTAGACAAATTCATTTGATTTTCCTCTACAAGCACGAGACAACATTTTGAAGTATTACTAGTTTTTCACTAATCCTGCATTTTAGTTCTCTTGATGTCATCACCTTTTGTTTGCCTTAATTTGGAGTTACAAAGGAATTGATCTATTTCAGAATATCTTTTAAAATAGGGAAAAGAGGGAGACCATCTAAATCGAGGTGCTATTGGTGTTCATACTTCAAAGACAGGTAGCCTTCTATTATTTATAAAGTTATGGTAACTTTCACTGGTAAAACAACATATAAGCAAGTTTCGTTTTTTGAGAACAGGAAATACTAGAGATCTGAAGACTTCCTTGAGTGTCCAAAGTGTTACAACCCAGAATTCACAACGTAAATCTATTGTTACTAGCAGCAGGTACACTGTTAAATAGAGTTTCAAATTCTGTTTGGAGTGCAGGAGGCAACCTGCTAGTATGACTGCTGTTTCAAAATTATCTGATCAAAATTTTCTCACTTCGATTGTTAATATTGCATTATGTTTTCTTTAATTCTTCAGGACAACCAGGAATCCACTTCCACCCACAAGGTTTGTGACTTTAAACAATGTTGAAATAATTGATTAAAACAATGTTTGTAGTATCTCTCACTGATGCATGATCTATTTTCTATTTTCATCTTGAAGGAAGTCTTTACCGGTTTTGAAGAAGGTGAACCCAGTCCTTTCAAGTGATGCAACTTTGAACATTTTTATTTGACTTTCTAAAAAAAGAACAGAAAAAAAGATTACTAATACTCCTTTTTCTCATTATGTTATCTTGGTAGTTTTCTTTTATCTTTTTTTTCCCATTAAATTTCCCTTTTCCATGTAGGGAAAAGCTACAGAAGCTAGCAAGACTACGAGTAAGATGCATGATCCATTTTTCCTTATACTCCAAAAGTGCATGGCCCAGAGTTGCATTCACTAAGATGGTGTTTTTGTCCTGTCTGTTCCCCACATTTTTTGGGCTTCAGGTAAGGCTAAAGTTTGTGAGTCTGCTTCAAATCAAGCAAGCAATGCAAGGAGCCATCTTTCAAGGAATAGAGAGAGTGATAGGTTTGTGATAACGTAAGCATAAGTTTCTGATTTCGTTTTGGTTCTTACCGTGCTTAACACTGGAATAACTTCTATGTCAGAATAAGAAACATAACGAAGTCCTCATTCTCAAGAAAAAGAGTTTAATGAGATAAATTATTTTTTGTTAAACCTGGTGGTCTAACAAATCTTAGGTCTAACTGGTTTGACCAACTACCTTTTTTTTCTAAACATTTTTTAAAGTCTCAGTTAGGGATAGAAGTGAAGTGCTTCTAGAGTCGCCTACTTTAAACTATAAATTTCTGACCAAAATTTTGAAGTCTTAAAACTTCATATAATACACATTTGCAATTTATTGAAAAATACTTTGTTGTGTTGTAGCCTGTTTGTGTTAATTTTAATGGTGATTGTGCTTGATGCTGCAGAGTATCAACGGGCTGTTAGGATCTGTCCATTCAATTGTCGTTGTTGTATCTCCTCTATCATTTTTTTTTTCTATCTGTGGTCTGTCTTTTATGAAGCGAGTAAACTAATTCTAGGGGTCTTAATATTTTCTTAGAATTTATCAGGGATGCCCACTTTTATGTCAATATTTTCCCTTTCTACATACTCATACTTTAAACTGGAAATTAACTGTTTTATTTTACCGGGCACCACGAGGGAACTATGAATCAGATTTCTTTGGGAAAAGTAGTATTACTCTAATTCATTAATGTCATGACCGATGAATTATCTTGTCTCGAATATTTTCATATGAAACAAAAATTGATAATCTGCTTGAAGGCTTACTGGCAGATATTATAGATCCATATTTAGGTTTTGCCTGATTTATGTAACACGTTCTTTCTACTAGTAAAATATTTTTATTGCGAACAAGTACTCTGATGATTAGTTTGAATTTTGGAATTAGGGCTACTAAAAGTCGATCAAATTCTGCTGCTCATAACTTGCCAAGATCTTTCAAGGTATATGACATACTATATCTGTCTTCAATCCTTCAATTTAGTTTGCTCCATATTTTAATAATGAGTTATATTTTCTGAGTTTGCTTTATGCTTATGTGACAACCAAAGTTGTATTTGAGTGTTTTTTTTACCCAATTTTACTTATATATGTTTTTATGTCATTCATTCCTCAGCCATTTGTTAAGACTGCACTCAGGCCTTCTAATGCTCAAAGAGCATCAAAACCAAAGTGTTCTTCAGGTTTGGAAAAAGCAGTGTCTGTTGCTGCAATCACATCCAAGAAAGACATAGGATGTCCTCTTCTAGAAAATAATGTAGCAACAATTTCTGGCGAAGCTAGCCAAAAGGATCTTACTTCTAATGGCAATAGTGATGCTAGCATCAACATGCCTGATGTCCTTTCTAGGAAGAAAGCCAAGCGTAGGAGATCTTATACATCCATACTCATGGCAGGATCACAGGTTTGGCCCCACTACAATCTACTATAATGTCTCAGCTTTTTCCTTGAGAAGTTGAATGATTATTGGAAATATTTTGCAGCTATTGGAGGGTAACAGTGGTGTCAAAGAAGAAGAAAAACTACCTGGCATTGATAATGATGACAATCCGTTGGAAGTTGCTCCATATGTTGATGAAATTTATCAGTACTATTGGATAAGTGAGGTATTTGTTCTTTAGGCTCTTCTTTCTAGAAACGTTTGTAGCATACTATGGCCTGTGTACAAGGCTTAATTTAGTGTGATTATGATCCTTCTTGAACACAGAGAAGCCAGACCACGAGGCTTCATTTAATGATAAGTCGTAATGGAGATTGACTGATAACATGAAACCATCTTAAAAGGGACTACCTTAGTAGATTAAATAGTAACATGTGGAAATAATACAAGTATTTTTTCTCAACTAGTTGGTTCCTGATCAAAATGGAAGTTAAAAGAGTTCAAATTATGAGAAGTTTTAAGGATAATATTTTGTTGTATGTACGTGCTTTTGAAAAAAACAGAGATATATTCTTCATCAGAAACAGAACGTCTATATTCAATTGAATGAAAAAAAGAAGAGATGATTTTTAGTTGTAATTTCCTGCATACTACAGAAATTACTGTTGATCCATTTCTCATGTTATAGTTTTGTTTCGGTCCCGAAAGTTGACCTTTTTTCTGTATGCGCCTGTGTGCATCGAACTCCGATGTAAATAAAAAGTTTACTATCTCAGTGGTCAATTGTTTGCCCATGTTTTGGCAACATTGTCTGGTAACTAGTCAGGTAATTTTGCTTATACTGAAGTGAACTTATAAAAATGCAGAAAATGAATCCATCTCTGGAAAATTACATGTCAACGCAAACTGATATTACTCCCCGTACGAGAGGCATATTGATCAACTGGCTGATCGAGGTATAATTTTTACCACATGGTTCTAATTCACCTTTTTGTTCATTATGCTGTACCTGGCTAATTTTAGTTGCTCTGTACTTCATTACTCTCATAACAGGTGCACCTCAAATTTGATTTAATGCAAGAAACACTTTATCTCATGGTCAATTTGTTGGATCAATATCTCTCAGAGGTCCAAATAAAAAAGAATGAGATGCAGCTGGTTGGTCTTACTACCCTTTTGCTGGCATCGAAATATGAGGATTTTTGGCATCCTAGGGTAAATATTTGAACTGTCGAATTTGCATGGTATCTTGTATTTCTATTTCAATTTTCTAAACTTGCAAAACCATTGCTCATTTAATTGTAATCCTTCACAGGTGAAAGATTTAATCAGTATATCTGCTGAGGCTTACACTAGTGAACAAATGCTCAATATGGTATGCCTTTTCTTCTGATGGAATGCAGTTTGAACTTCTGAGAAAATCTGGTGTAAGGAGGAAACTTGGTGTAGGACAAGTAACTCTTCACATATTCTGAAACCTCATAAATATAAAATAATCTAAAAGAACTTAGATAATTGTAAAGATTGTCAAACTTGTAAAATATAAAATAGACTTGTGGATAATCTCCTAACTAGCGTACCTTTGTTCTGCATCACTCAGTGTTTGAATTTGGAGTCTATTTGCTTTGTGTATTTTTTATTTTAACCTTAAGCTGGAATATTCACTTTGGACCAATAGCAATAGTTACTTCTGGCAGATGTATTGTTATGCAAGCATCTTTCTTGATATGCGACCTTGTATAGGTGTTTGCCCTTATTGCTCTTAACAATACAAAATTTGAATTTTCAGGAGAAGTTAGTCCTTAAAACCTTGAAGTTTCGCCTAAATGTGCCTACTCCCTATGTCTTCATGTTGAGGTTTATCAAGGCTGCTCAATCAGACACCAAGGTATGTGGTAGCTGTTCAAATATCACTAATGAATCGACTATTTCAAACGACCTGGATTTCTAGGTTAAATTATTGAGAAGAAAAGTAGGGTGCATCTACTTGTATTGAGATCAGTGATTTGATATTTTGGGATTGGTTCATTAGATTTCTATTTGGATAATAATTATTTACTGATTTAAATTGGATAGACATAGTGTTATTTGTTCAAAAATTTGGTAAACATTTGTTATTTGTGATGGGTATTGGTTTCAGTTGGAGCATCTAGCCTTCTACCTCATAGATCTGTGCTTGGTTGAATATGAAGCTTTGAAGTTCAAGCCCTCTTTGCTATGTGCATCAGCTATCTATGTTGCTCGGTGTACCTTGCAAATGTCTCCATCTTGGACCCCGTTGCTTTGCCGACACACACGCTATGATGTCTCAGAAATCAGGCAAATCTCTTTCAAAATCTTCTTGCTATTGTTATTGTTGTTGTTTGTGTATCTTTATTTATTGCCTGATTGTGAGCAGGGACTGCGCGGAAATGATTTTAAGATTCCAACGAGCCGCCAATTCGGGGCAATTGAGGGTCACGTTCGAAAAGTACACGAGTAAGGACCTCAGTGGAGTTGCGGCGATCGCGCCCTTGGATAGACTTCCTTGAACTTTATGATCTTGATGATGATTTCAGAATGTTAATAAATATAACTGTAATGTCACATGTAACAGAGGAAATGGCGTGGAAGTTTTCATGTTGACTAGAGTTGTGGTGTTGTAGGTATATGCATTTTGATTGTATTGAGGTTTTGTTGAGTTTTAAGAGTGAGATTGATGACAGACAATGATGTTATGATGATATACGTTCATACTTAATCTCATGATTTTTCATTGTTTTACGTTTTTTTTATTAAATTGTAGTGTTAGTGTAGTTTACAATTAATGAAATTTGTTTGGTATATAAAATTTTGTTATGTAGAATGGTAGGTATCAACATAAAAAACTAAGGGTAAAGTACATAAATGGTCCCTTGATCATAGGATGTTATTTTGTTGAGTCCCTGATTATACGGTGTTTTGTTCACTCTTTCGACAATTAAAAGTTACAGAATGACCACTCTTCTCTATTCGTTAAAAATTGACGATTGTGTAAACTTGATGTTAATCTATTGGTTGTGATAAGATAAAATATGATTCTAGAATCTCAAATGACTATAGAACTCAAACGGTTTTGTGATCATATTTTATTGCATCTTAGTAAATTAGTATCCAACTCAAATTTATGTCAATTTTAAATGGAAAATGACGAGTTTGAAATATATGAATAGTCAATTGAATATTCTTTAATTTGTAAAAATCGGGTGACTCAACAAAATAACGCATTATAGTTGGGGATCATTTGTATACTTTATGAAAAAAATTAGGCTTAAACTAAACAAAAGTACTCAAACTATGTCATTTTTTTTTGCTTTAAGTACCTAAATTATTTTTTTATCAAACTAAATCCTTAAACTATTATATGTAATCACTTTAAGTACCTAAACTATTTTTTTGTCAAAATATATCCCTAAACTATGACTATTTTTTTGCTTAAAGTCCCTAAACTATTTTTTTGGGTCAAAACAAATACCTAATTTTACAAGTCGTGTCAACGTCTTGTTGATCGAAAAATATAATTTTCTAATTGAAAAAATGATAGGACTTAAAATGATTAAATATAATAGTTTAAGAGCTTAGTTTAACCAAAAAATGATTTAGGTACTTCAACCAAAACGAATACATGAGTACTTATTTTCACTTTAAGCCAAAAAAAATTAAATCTAATGAATTATATTTTTTGTTAAGTGTATTTTCTTTTCTACTAATATACTAATATTTATTTAGAAAATAAGAAGATATTTATTATGTAAATATTAGTATATAAATAAAAATTAATATAAAATCATGACATATAATAAAAAATGTGGATTTTATGTTAATATTTAAATATCTTTATGGAGCTAAAGGAGGCAAACGATAGTTTTTTTTTGAATTAATCATTGGTATTCGATCTATTGACCGACTAATTCAATATCAAGTACTGCAGAGACGAGAGTGACCCTCTCAACCCAGTTTGTTACATTCACAAACGCCAATATTTAAGCCCCTGATCTTGCTTAAGGAATCTAGTGCATCATCCCACTAAACCAACTGATTATTGGTGGTGGTTCTTTGATATAAATTTTGGTTAAAAGTTTGGTTAAACTATATGTTTAGTAATTTAACTATCACTCTTGTTCTGTTTTGGTCATTTAATTGATATTTTTCTTCAAAATCATATCTAACGTTACATTTTGATTTTAATTTTAGCCACCCATCATTTAAAATACAACAAAATTGTTAAGATAGTATTTTTAATTTTTTTCAATGATGTAATCACCCATTTTTTAGCAAATAAACCCAATCATATACACAAAACCTAAGTCCAAAATTAATCCACCAACCAAATAAATCCTAGGGGTTCCAACTATTCCAACTAGCCACTATATGCATTGACTGTTGGATCAAATTCGATCCAATGGTCTGGATTGAAATTGTATTAGGGTTCCCAAACCCTAATGTCACAACTACCTTTGCCAAGCTCGAACTCTAGCTGTTGTTTGCTCCAATCGCGCGCGTCGGTGTAAAGAAAGCAAGAAGATTCAATCAACAAACAACAGGAAAACATAATAATAAAAAATAAAAGAAGATCAAGGCAAAATCCCGAAAATCCGGAATATTAATGGCGTTCAGAGTGCCCTACCTCTACTGTTTCTGCTTCACCAAACGCACGCTATCTCCAGGTCACCTTTGATATGAAGGCGATTTGACCAAACTGATTGTTTAACCGAATATTTACCTTTTCAGTACCGTTTGATATATATTTTTTGAAGTGGCACCCTTTCGGTTGAGCTGGCGAAAGACGCATCTCCGGGGACGCGCTTTACTCGAGTTTTCGCTGAGTTGGATGTCACGTGTGGAAGGCGCATCCCCGGGGACGCACCTTCCATTAAATGCCATAAATGACCCCATCCGTTTTCCCTAACTACCCCTCCTCCTCCCCTATATAAACCCCCTCAATCCTCCCTCATTCTTCACACCAAAATCATATTCTCCTATCTTATATAACTCAAATTCTCCAACTAGTTAAATTTTGGTTATAATTTACCTGATTTCACAATCCATCTAATGTCCCCGAGGGACATGAGTGACATAATAGGGCAATGATAACATATTCTTTGACAAAATAATAGAAGGCGCGCCCCCGGGAACGCGCCTTCAAGTCCCCTGAGAAATAATAGGTACTGATATGAATAGTGTCCATGAGGGACATGAGTGACATAATAGGGCAATGATAACATATTCTCTGACAAAATAATGGAAGGCGCGCCCCCGGGAACGCGCCTTTAAGTCCCCTGAGAAATAATAGGTACTGATATGAATAGTGTCCCCGAGGGACATGAGTGACATAATAGGGCAATGATAACATATTCTCTGACAAAATAATAGAAGGCGCGCCCCCGGGAACGCGCCTTCAAGTCCCCTGAGAAATAATAGGTACTGATATGAATAGTGTCCCCGAGGGACATGAGTGACATAATATGGCAATGATAACATATTCTCTGACAAAATAATGGAAGGCGCGCCCCCGGGAACGCGCCTTCAAGTCCCTTGAGAAATAATAGGTACTAATATGAATAGTGTCCCCGAGGGACATGAGTGACATGATAGGGCAATGATAACATATTCTCTGACAAAACAATGGAAGGCGCTCCCCCGGGAACGCGCCTTCAAGTCCCCTGAGAAATAATAGGTACTGATATGAATAGTGTCCCCGAGGGAAATGAGTGACATAATAGGGCAATGATAACATATTCTCTGACAAAATAATGGAAGGCGCGCCCCCGGGAACGCGCCTTCTGTGAATAGTACCCCGATTATAGACACTATTATATGCAACGTATTATAAACTTTCAAAACAAACTTCAGTTCACAAGCTTTCAAATTCTCAAATTCCTAAACTCTAAATTCTCAAATTCTCTGAAAATGAGTCATCTTTCTGTTGTTGTTTTGTATGATGGAGAAATTAAGGAAGCTGAAGAGGGGGTTGTTTTTGAGTCAGATCATTATATCCCCTTAACCTTGAAGAGAAACATCACAATTGAGGAGTTAATCACAAAAATTTCGTTAAAGATTCGTGTAGCAGGCCAAAGAAGACTATCTTCACTTCAGTACAGATTTCTTACTGAACTTTTTCCACTCACGTATACATCATTTCAGCTTTCAAACGATGATGATGTTTCTATGATGGTTGATGCTCATATGGGGAGTTCACAATCTCTTATTGAAATGTATGCCACTTTTATTGAGGTTCGTGCAACTCGTGGTCTCTCATATTCCTCTCACTTTGGCATTGCATATCAAGCTGATCAAGTTGATAGCCCGACACAACTGATCTGTAATGATTTCACATCATTAATGGCGGATCCAACGCCAGATGCCATGCCATCAAGTTCAATAGGAAGGCATTCATCTACAACTGCTTATGATCTCAACCCACGTGGCTTCACCAATAATCCATATGACAACATCTCTTCTACTTTAAGGGGCAGACATTCATCTGCCAATGTTTTCGACTTACATATGGAAATGCCAACGAGACAACAGTCTATTCACATCCCACATGATATAATGGCCTCAAGTTCAGGGGGAGGACACGCAAGCGGGAACTTATTTGACCTCAACATTGGATTATCGGAGGAACCCTCATCTCTACCAGAAGAACCTCTTCGGGAGCCAGGTGCAGATGGTGCTAAAACGGGATTATTCGTTGAACCTGACCCACCACAGTTTAACGTACATTCTGATGATGACGAGGATGACGTTCCGATAAATATAACACCAGCCAAACTTCTTGCACATATGTATGAGGCTGATTATGATGCAATGTATGAGCCTGAATTTCCAGATCTTCCTGATGTTGGCAACTATGGACTTCAATCATCAGTCAATGACGGTAATTTACATATTGGAATGGAGTTCGCATCGAAAGAGAAAGCAATGATGGCAATAAAGAGTTACAATATTCGTAACTCAGTTCAGTCTCGAGTTGATCGATCTAACATGGAGAAATATGTCTGCTACTACGTCCAACGTGACAACGGATGTCAATGGATGGTTCGTGTATCAAAGAGGAAGAACAACTTATGGGAACTAACCAGATACAACGGTCCTCATACATGTTGTGCAAGAGGTATAAACCAGGATCATCCCAACTTGGACTCCAACATTATTTGCCAAGCAATCATGCCCATTGTGAAACAAAGCTCTCATATAGCTGTTGCAGTGTTGATTTCTGCTATACAGTCACAATATGAGTACACTGTCTCATATAAAAAAGCGTGGTTGGCAAAACAGAATGCCATTTGCAAACTTCATGGCGAATGAGATTCCTCTTACAACGAGCTGCCCAGTTGGTTTCATGTTGTGCAAATACTTAATCCCGAGACAATTGTTGAGTTCGAAACTCAACATCATTACGTGAATGATCGAATGGTTCGCGATCGCTGCCAATTTTACCGTGTCTTTTGGACTTACCCTCAGTGTATTAATGCAGTCAAGTACTGTAAACCAGTTGTCCAAATTGATGGTACTTTCTTATATGGAAAATACAAGCAAGTTTTATTATTGGTTATGGTCCAAGATGGAAACCGCAATATTCTTCCTGTTGTGTTTGCCCTCGTCCAAGGAGAAGACACTGAGTCTTGGGCTTTTTTCCTTAAAAATTTACATTTATATGTTGTCACCAGGGAACGAGTATGCATTATTTCAGACCGAGAAGTCAGGATAAAAGAAGCAATG